TACTAGGGGCTCCTCGCATCGATACTAGGAGCATGGACGCTACTAGGAGTACGCCTTCGACGGTCTCGGCGATGCTGGAGGCTTCGGCGAGCGGGTCCAAGAGGGTGTCTTCGCGGCTGCTGTTGCCAGAGAGTTTGGACTTGTACATGGCCAAGCCATCAAACGGGAAGACCTATGTTACCTTCTGGGCCTAATATCTCTCTCTCTTTCTTTCTTTCTCTCCCTCGCTCTTCTAGCTGGAAATTGTGGGGAGGTGGTGGGCCAACTGACGTCACAATGTACCGAACAAATCTTAGAATTCTTTACGCAACTGAGAGGAACCACGTGTATAGGATGAAACAGGAGAGGAGGGTCCAAGAGAGTGTGGTTGTGCATTCACTAGTTGAAGCACACCCGGCGCTTCAGATATCATCGGCTATCAGGGTCTATCGGGTCAAGCTGAGTTTCTTGAAAGAATAAATTCATCATGAACGCTCCTTGGCACCGGCATCAGGGTTTGCTGCTACGTAGGACTGGCTGCCTTTGGACACGTATTTTTCATTGACCTCACGATGATCCAGGTGTCGTGCTTGGATCAGGCGCTCCTTGCAAAGACCAGTCAGTCAGGTCAGTCTCCGTTCTGCGATGCTACAGAATTGTGTTTGAAGTGTAGCATTCGAACCCTGCTTGCTTCCATACAGATTCCAATGCTCCTGCTCTTCCAAGATGGCCCCAAGCATGTCTCGATGCCTCGGAACACTTTCAGAAGCTTGCATGCAGAGCTTTCAGCTGGCCTCTATGTCTATGTGGCACGCAAAAGTGCAGTGTTTGGTGCTTGTCCAGCGCATTGGTCTGGTCATTTGGTAGCGGATAGCCCCACTGTCCCTTCCAGGTTGATTCGTCGAGCTCGCTTGCAAGCTTGCGCCTTGAAGGTAGTTGGACAAGACCAAACATTGAGCTGTCAACAGGAAATGAGGCAAAGTGACAAAGACTTTTTAGCTCGGGACAAAAACACTCTGAGTCCAACTGAACAAAACATGTGATGGGAAAGGGCAAGGGTGGGTGGTCAATAGTTTCGGCGCAATTCCACTGTCCTTGCAGGCAGCTGTGGTGGCTTTGCAGCTTCTCGGTTTTCTTTTTTGTCTGAAGCTTGAGTCGAGCTCTCAAGCTTCTCCTCTGGACCTTTATCACGAAGTTCAGGTTGCTGATGTGTATCCAGTGTATCCAGCACAGCTCCGCTGGGGGTGGCGACAAAGCGTGTGCACTTCTCGCCAGAGTACATCTGGGTCACTCTCGCAATGAGCTCACGACTCTCGTCCGCCTCTTCAGTAGATGAGGCGGTCTCCACTGCACATTTGGCACATAGCTCACTGTCGCAGGTGCTGCAGCCAAAAACCACTTCTCCAGGCTTTTGCATGGTATCGCAGGTGTCACAGAGTGCTGCACTTCTGGCAACGATGTAGCCTAGATGTGGTTGGATTCCAAGGGCAAATGTCGTAACTAAACAGCAAAGAACGCTGCATAAGTTCAGAAGGTTTCAAACGTTTCAAAAGGTCACCACCAGCTCTGCGTGTTGCTGCACTGACAAACAGCGCGCAGGAGTCTGGAAGATTGTACGTTGAAAAGGCAATAGGACCAGTACACTACACTAGTGAAGGTGTCGGGCCACCAACGTCTCTATAACAAGCAGTGCCTTTCAGTAACAGGAAGGGGAGAACTCTTGCCAGGTAGCAAAAGAGCTGATGACCGTCAGGGCAGCAACGCTTTGACGATACTGATGCACCGGAAGCTGCTAGCCGCAGTGCAGCACCTGCTTCTAGCGGCAGGAGTTCCATCTCTGGTCTTGGAGACCTGGCTGAGAAGGAGCTGCAAAGCTGAGAAGGACATACATATCAGACTGTTTGTTTAACATAGTTGAATCTAGGTGATACCAATTGAATTTATCTTCTTCACTTCTTGTCCTTGAGACTTGGGCTCGGGCTTTGCCCGTGGGGGAGCTTTGGGCAATCCAAGAAGGTCACGCTCCGCCTTCGGCAAAGTCAATCACACACACTTTGCCGTTTGACGTCTTTGGTCTCAATGGACCCTAATAGCGATGGCCTCCATCCTACTGGCGATGGCCTCCATCCTAACTCCATCACAATAGCAATGGCCTCCATCCTAATACGATGGCCTCCATCCTACTAGCGAACCTAATAGCAATGGCCTCAAACCTAATAGCAATGGCCTCCGACCTACTAGCAATGGCCTCAGCCTACTAGCAATGGCCTCCTTCCTAATAGTGAAGGCCTCCATCCTAACAGCGATGGGATTTTGGCTAGCTGGCAGGCTGGCACACCTCACCTCATCAAGGTCTTCTTGCTGCTGAGGTCCTGTGATGAGCAAAAGGCACAAACTTTGTCGCAAGAAAGTCAACTCTATGAGTCCAGTCCTTTTCATCATACGCTGAATGGGTTGACCTGGCCTATTGATCTGCCAGGGGCACCAAGAGAATCATTGCCACGATTTCCCCCAGATCGTTTTGGCACCTGTCTGCAAAATGTAAGTCTTTCATTGGCAATGTGCTTTGAGTGCGGCTGACAGCACTGTGCTCAGGCACCCAGCCCCCCCTTTTCTCTCCGCATGCGCCAGATCCAAAAAAGATCTTGTTGCTGTGATGGACAGCTTCGGCCAAAGTCTCTGGGCTAGTGCCACGACATCCGGCGACCACTTCCAGCACCTGTCTCATATGGCAAGGCTCGCTGCGGTCCTCCGGAACATGACTTTTAAAGACTGAAGCATCCGGCTTAGGCTTAGCCATAACTTCAAGCAAGCATTCGTGCAAATGTGTCAAATTGGTGTACGCTCCCTGGAAACATCATGGAGAACCACAGCTTTCCGGTTTGTAGAGGAAAATGGTTATATATCCAGTTTGGTTTGGGCTCATGGTCATGTCTGATTCAGGTCACGAGTCTGACATTCCTTTAAGGTCCTTTAAGTCTCTTTTATATAAGCAATCCACGGGATCCTTTTTCTTTAGTCAAAAGCTGTCCTTGATGCATTTGCCCTCTTCCCACTTTTCGGGCTTCTTCACCTCATCCCAGGTCGTCTGAATGAATCCATGGCCAGCATGGCTGGCCTTTATTCCACACCAAGGTGCATCCGTCTCCAGCAGAATGCGATCCTCAGGAAGGCCTTTCACCATTTCGAGGTTCTCGTCAGTTTTCAAAGAGCATCCGTTGACTCCAATGAAGAAACCTAACTCTAAAAATCTCTGTGCATCTTCGAGGCTTCCGTCAAAGCTATGCACAACCCCCGGGCATGCAGGCAGCTCTTTGCGGACCTTTGTCAGAAAGCTTATCAAATCACTGGCTGCCTCGCGGGTCCGACAATGTAAGAAGAGCGGCTTCTGTAGAGGGATTGCCAAGCCAAGCAGCTGCCTCTCGAAGTACTTCAGCTGAGTTTCGCGAGGGCAAAACTGTAATCGGTCGTAGTCAAGGCCACATTCACCCACTGCAGCACAGACGCTGCCCGCTCTTTTTGCTACAGCCAGCAAATTCTCTAAGTAGGATTCAGGGTCGTTTGTATGCTCGAATTCGCAGCAGCGTGTAGGATGGACACCCACAGTGCAGCAAAGTTCTGGCCAATCTGAGGAGTTTGCATTGCGACAAAATTCTACCGCATCAAGGCTCTCTTGTAAAGTTCCAGCTGTAACCATGAGTTTGCTGACACCCGCTGAGAGAGCTCTTGTCAAAACTGCTGGCAAATCTTCCGGGTGGCGCCTCTTGTCTCTGTAGATTCCTTGAAACATCGGATCCAACATGTTCGCACCAATGTCAACCAACGGGACCCTACTTGAAGGCTCAGCCGGCTCGGCTCTCTGAGATGACGCTCCAGCCTTCACAGCTATGCGACTTGACACATAGCACCTCAAGCCACGTGCAACTTCATCAGCTGCAGCCAAGGATATCATGATCCGAGCAACTTTCAAGAGCTTGCGGCGCATCAAAGTCTCAATCTGGCAGAAGAGTTTCTAGTGCAAATGTGAGTTTCTGGTTCTCTGGATCCTTGTTGTAGAAGAAGTGGCTAAGCCTACGGGACGACAGATCCTGGTGATCCCTTAAATAGGCCAATCTTATGAAATGGAAGCTCTCGTTGAGCAGTATATTCAGCGGCCACAAAAACAACTGGATGTGGGAAAAATAAAACCAAAAAGGCATCCAAGATCGACAGGAGCTACATCTGCAACACTGCACCTCGTCAATCCTTGTGACGACGAGCCCTGCAAACTATATAAGCCAACAGAAGCCCTCCAAGTGACAGCCAATCCAGCTATTCGCATGAATTCCACAGAATTTGATTACGATATGAGAAATGATCTCCAGTGTCTTCTTAGATCTTTCCACCTGTCCGCTAGATCCAACCCAGACCCCAGCAGGCCTTTGCCTTGGCTTTACCCTTCGCCTTTGCAAACTTCTCGCGGAGGTAGGTGTCCTTAGCGGATCTATATACCAGCAGCCACCAAACCACCACCACACAAGTTCAAAGGACAAGCGTCTGTACTCTCCGCCAGGAACTCATTGCCGAGGCTAAACGGGCTGCTCACCATGGCTCAACATGCAAGAACAATGAAACCCATTCAGTCACTTCAAGCATCCAATCACAGAAACATCGCCAAGGGCTCCAAAGAGTTTCTAAAAAGCATGCAAAAGAACAGGTTGCAAAGTATGTATAGATCTGGGTCCAACAGACAAGACCAGTGAAACTAGATAAGGCTGTGGTCTGATGTGCATGAATCTTTAGAGTAGCTGCGTAGCTCTCTACAGTAGTGGCAGAAAGGTGTGCACAAGTCCAGCTTTGCATCTGACAGCAAAGCACTTCAAGAAGCCGGAAAAAGACATGTCTCACACAAACTGCAAGAAACATCAACGTACAAGATCTTCATAAAACGCCACAACCAGGCATCAGTAAGGCTGAAGCCCCAGTCGTTCATGGCCTGCATTGCTGAGTTTGGAGCACCGACCTCAGAATTGCTACCACCCGACAGACTGTGGACTTGCTGCAGCTTCCAGAAAGAGCAAGAACCAATTCCTTTGCCTATGTGAACAGTGTAGTGTTGTACATAAGCTTTAAGCCATGGTTCAGAAGTTCTGGATGCAAAACTCAATTCATAAACACTGTGATTGGCCCAAAAACCCTCAGCCGCCCATCTTCACACAAACAAAGCAAAGTGACTATCCGTGCATTAAGGCGTCCAAGCAAGACTCTGGACGATGTTCCCATCAAAATGGCGGCGCTCAAAGTCATCGCCCCACTCCTCACTACTTGAGAAAAACCAAACCAAAAACTCAAAACTGCCAAGTTCCCAAGACTAGAAAAACTGTTGACCATCATCTTTAAAGCACTTCCCGCAATTGTTCTTGATTGTTCAACACTTTGGCACTCTTGTCTAGGCCGCTGACATTCATCTTTTGCCATGTGTTCCGTAGCACTCCTCCCGCCTGATGGGTCAAGCCGAGCTAAGAGGTGCTCACAGGAATAGGTGGCATCTGAGACTCTCAAGTAAGGAAGGCGCTGACCATCTGCGTTCTCCTTGAAGCTCTTCTTCAGTCCTCAAACTAGTCAGAAGGCTGGCAAACAATGATTAGAATTAAAAGGCCGGAGGTCCTCATACTCGACATTGTTTAACAATGGCTGCAGGAGATTTCGAAGCCATTCAGAGCGGTGGTGATAAAGCAGATTTGGTTTTGACCAGGTTTGACCTATTGACCTGTTGGCCAGGGGATGCCATGGTTTGTCATCCATTTCAACAACAACAACAACAGCAGCATGGAAACCCAATCTGCAGCTGCTAAGCGGACTCAGCTGCAAAATGGCAAGCAGTTCTTGTAGAATCTCAGGCTCTTTTGTACAGTGTACAGGAAATTGCTGATTTGGTCCCAAAATAGCTGCAATTCTGTGAGACTGAACTATAAAAAGTAGGTGTGACAAACTATAAAAAAGAACTGCACTCACCGATATAGGTGCAATACATTGCATTTTTTCTTGTCGCACTGGTGAGACGTCATCTAAAATAGTCTGTGGAAATGTTGAATGATTCTACACCAATCCATAAACCATTGTGAAACGAGCTATGGGACTGGCCGCACAGTTCGCAAAACTAAAGGCAGAACCAAAAAACAAATAAATGTTCCTACTAGTTTCTCAAATACACCATCAGTTAGCTAATGGCCAAACTGTCAGCTTGAATTGCAAAGTGCTAGCCACGGCATTTCTATACGAAGTTGCCAAAAACACCAGCAGAAAGTTGCTTGGCAACTACATCTGGCTAGTGACAATACGAAAGTTTAACAGTTTGGCACTAAGTTGAAGAGTGAAGAATCAGAAGCGGCCTGAGCGATTCCTCGAGTTCTTGAACATCTGGAGCTGCAGGCGACGCTCGTCATCAAAGGTCGAGAGGATCTTTTGAGCTTCTGTCATTGCAACCTCTATATCCCTTGGTAGCCGGTCTTTTGCAAGCTTGTTGCGAGACCGCTTGCGATGAAGAGTTTTCATTTGAAGCTTGCGTTCCTCTTCAAACGCAGCTAAGCACCTTTCTGCATCTGTCAAGGCAGATTGAACTTCATCTATGGTGCAAAGGCCACGGAACCTCTGTGACCCAGTCAAGGAAAGCCTCCCTGTCTGCCCAAACGATGAGGCAGTCTCAAGCGTGCTTGACTGAGGAGAGCTGTCTATTTGTTCGTAGAGCATCGTCAGACTGCTGTCGGGTGCAGCAAAAGAGAAGGATTTGGCGTCCTCTGTCACTGTCTGCTCCAAGTCATTGTCTGAGCTTAAAGGCTCAGCCCTTCCTCCTTTCTCTACCAATGTTCCGGCTCGTGCCAGAACACTCTTGAGAGAATCTTTGATTCCGGCATCATGGGCTGCTCTGCGGGCAATTTCTTCCAGTTGTCCTGGACTGCTCCCTGCCTGTTTTGCAGCCGAAACTGTAGCCTGGACCTGTGCATCAGGCGCCCAGCCCGCATTACGTGCAGTCTGGGACGCAGCACATGCTGCAACTGCACTTGCCAATTCATTTCGACCTCCTTCTCGAAAGACATAGAAAGCTGCAGCAGAACCCGCTGCTGATGCCTGCTCTTCATCAAGTTGCAACGCCTTACAGCTGTGTATGCCCAGGTTGACAGCTGATGCAAAGAGTGTTGCATCTCCTGTAAGCTGTTGCAAACTCTCTGGGTCAGCTGTGCCAGGACCCAGTTCACGAGCGACAAAGGTGGTTGCTTGTTCTGTGGCATGTTTCCTGTCATCAAAATCCTGCGAAGTGGCATATGCTGCCAGGGCTGCCGCCTGGAGCTGCTCCGCAAGATTTCCAACATGGACTTCAGCAGCAGAAATTGCAGCAGCTTTGGCACGTTCTGAGGCAGGCAATGTGGGCACCACTGCAAGAGCTGCTCTCCCAGCAGCTACACTTTGCTCGAAAATATTCAGCGCAGCTGCTCTTGCCGATAGCCCGGCCGCCTTTGCCGCACTTTTAGCTTTCTCGAAAGACCCTTCCACGTGTTGGGCAGCCTCTATTCCAACACTCACTGCCTGTGCTTCGAAGTCAAAGGTGTAGACTGGCGCATCGACATCGCCTTGAACTGCCTCTGTCAGCACGCCTATCACAGCCTGCAGGGGTAGGGAAATGCATCTCTCGATACTGTTTCAAGATCTTGAAACATGTTTCAAGTGTTTGTTCATTGACGGTGTATATAGATAGTTGCGGAAGCTTGCTGGCCAGACTGTCATCTTCACAGCCCTTTCATCCAGTAAAGATTCGCAAACACCATTGCCATTACCTATCAAGTGAATTGCCTGCCTACTTTCATGCATGGAAGGTACAGTCACGACATGAGAAGAGCGACCTGAAAGCCTGGACACAAGTAAAGAAAGCCCAAGCAGGAAGGGGCCGCACTTGGCAAAGCATCTGCACATCTTAAATTTCTTGTGGTGGTCAAGGAATCGCAAGTGGAACTGGGGGGGGGTAACGCAAGCGTGTTATGCTCAAGAGTTACAATTGAGCAGCCAGCTCGAAGCAGGATGTGCACAGCCAAAGCCAGGTATGATGGAAGCGATAGTATTTGAGTAAAGCGCTTCTTGAGTTTATACACAAGTCACAAGTGGTTCTCTGTTCAGTTGGCTTTCATGCAGGTGCTAGCAGCAGCTATCAACATGACAATGACCTCCGTTTTCGTGCTGTCCTTTGCTGGGTGCATGCTGGTTCTTGTGGTTGAAGTCCTTGTCAAAGGTTTGGCAAGTGTGGGTGTGGACGGTTCCCCACCTGCTTGCTGCTGGGAGTTTCGGGTTTGCCAAACCACCCTGCATCTTGGCCCCACGCCCAGGCTGTAGTGGGCTTGCAATGCCGATCACATCTGATTTTCCTCTGATGCAGTTGAATTGTACATTGCCTAATGGTCGATCTTTAATCATTCCCATATTCACTGCAGCACTTAATGCTCTTGTGTTCCAGTCTCACAATGGCGATGCTTGTCTAACGAAGGGAAAATGGAGGTGCAAAAGTAGTCCTTTTTCCCATTGTTGCCACACATTTTTGCTAGTTTGGTTTCTATATATATATATATACATACTTCTCTGATGTAATCCTTTTGTATTAAACCTGGTCCAGGGGGCATTGCTGGCACAGCTGCAAACCTAGTTTCTGTGTGCTGGAAACTTGTTGCATCTTTGGAACACATTCAGTCTATGGCATTCATCAGCACGACGATAATTGCGAATGTGAGCACAATACGACAGAACCATTTGTAAAATGGAACTAGACGTTCGCTTGATGCATGTGAGGTTTACTGAGAACACAAAGCAAACACAGTCCTCGGAATCATCTTGAACTTCCCGTGCAGCAGGACGAGTTGAACGCAGGACAATACCCTTTTGCTGGATTCCTTTTCTCTGCGGCTTGGGAGAGATAGCCTTGACTGTTGCACGGATTGTAGGACGTTTGACTGATGCAGGCACAGCTTCAGCTATCTCACACTCAGACTCGACCTTCTGTGCTTCAGCCTCCTCCTTTGAATGGCATTGAAGTGCTGCTAGTTTGGTGAGGAACTGTCTCCTCAAAAAGAGCTCTGGCAGCACCACATCCTCTGGACGCTCCCACATGGTCTCATTCGTTTCGCTGTTGAAGAAGTACTCCATATCGTCTTCATCTGTGGCAGCATTCCACTTTGCAATCTCGACATCTGCCTGCGCATCCCAGGTGCTACCCCACATAGAAATGTGGTCTGCCTGGCGTGATTCTGGCAAAGTAAAGTGGTGGCGTGCAATGCCAGCAAGCTCCTGCAGAACAGAATTCAAAGGATGCTGCCAGGACGTAGCACCTGTTGACTTTTTCACAAAGAAGAAACGGTTGTTCAACTTGTCATGCCAAACCTTCCAAGGCGCCGGCATCGGTGCTCGTTTCAATACCGACTGGAAAACTCTAAGCAAATTCTCCTCCCCAGGAACGTTTACGATTCCTTGGGTTGTCAGGTAATACTCCCAATTGTCATCAAGCTGCGCAACATCTGACAGCTTTCGAGATGCCCTTCTTGTTTTCGAGGTTCTTTGTCTGGTCCCTGAAACATCATCACTTTGTGGAGAGGACATGGTGGATGTCACAGTGGTAGCTGTGGACGGCTTTGTCGATCCACTATCCCTTCGAATGGGAAGCTGTGGTAGCAGCGCTGGTTCTGCTCTCCTTTGATCACTGACTTTTTCTTGATGAGAGAGACTTAGCTTCTTCAAGAATTGCTTCTTCAAATAGAAAGCAGGCAGCACTGCGTCAACAGGACGTTCCCACATCACATCATTTGTTTCAACGTTGTAATAGTATTCTCTGCCATCCTCGTTGGCCGTCTGCCATTTTAGGATCTCCGCGCGTGCATCACTGTCCCAGGTCCTATTCAGCGCAGCCAAATGCTCAGCTCTCATGCCAAATGGTATTGACAAAACCCTTCTTCCAACTTTGGCGAGGTCCTCCAAAAGACGGTGCAAAGGGTGACTCCATTGTGTTTCGCATGTCGTGGTGTTGGTAAAGAACAGTGTCCTAGTGGTCTTGTCAAACCACATGCTCCACGGAGCCGGCAACGGGGCTCCTTTGAGTGCAGATTGGAACACTTCGAGAAGGTCTTCATCTGCGGGAAAAGAAAGAACTCCGCGACTCACCAAGTAATGTTCAAAGCCTTCCTCAGTTGGATGCTGAGGACCTGCTGCTTGACCTCCTCCTCCCCCTCCTCCTCCTCCTCCTCCTCCGGGAAGATTTGCAAGTTGGGAGGGTTTGGACTTTGGATCAAAGATAGGCTGTACAAACTCCGGCTTTCCAAAGTTGGTATTCAGATTCTTCAGGAATTCCTTCTTCAAGTAAAAGCCAGGGAGCAATGCGTCTACTGGTCGCTCCCACATCACAGCTTTGGTCTCCACATTGTAGAAATACTCCACCTTTCCTCCATTCCTATCATCAAATGCAGAATGCCATCGCATAATCTCTGCACGAGCTTCAGCCTCCCAGGTTCTATTGAGAGCCGCCAAAAGCTCAGGTCTGCTTGAAGGAGGTAGTTCCACAAATCTGCGGCCAACAGCAGCAAGCTCTAGAAACAAATGATGCAAAGGATGAATCCAAGATGTCTCCCCCGTAGAAGAATTTGTGAAAAAGAATGCATTCTTCTCCTTGTCACACCACATGCTCCATGGAGCTGGCAGGGGCAATCCACGCAAGGATAATTCAAAGACATGCAGCAGCTTCTCCTCTCCAGGACTCAGCACATTTTGGACTCGAAAATATTCGCCCCAGCTCCGCTCAATCATTGAGAAGAGCTTGTCTTGGGCCAAAACACTGAATTGTTCAAAGCCCCTGTTCCATGAGCAATCGTCTGCACTCTATCGGAGGCATGAGGCCTGAAAGAGTCATGTGTGCAAACATGCATAAGCAACAAAGTCTGCAGCGGACAAAATCATGCAACTTTGTTCCAAGGAGTCATGCAACAAAGTCTGCAGCGGCGACCTACCGGTGAAACTTGGGGAGCACACATCCAAACTGCGCGATGCATGGCACTTTTGCAGCACGCATCTAGTGCAAAAAAACCGGGCTACATTGGCTACATAAGTAGATTTTTCTGCACCCAATACCTGGGCCTAAAACCTGTGGTGTGTCTGACAAAAATGCTTCGGGCTTCCCCATGAAGGTATCCCAATCACTTTTGGAGGCGATAAATCCAAAAATGCTGTGACTTCACACGTTTCATTGCACAGTGTCGATTCGCCTCCAAGTCTCTCTCACTTTTTTGGAGCTTGAAGCATGGCTTCTAATTGCTCCTGCTGTGACAACTCCGTGCATTTATCTTTGAAATCTGGCTGACAAAATGAATCAACGCATCTCATTCCGCTTCCGATACCAAAAACATCTTTTTATATTATAGCAAACTCAACCTGAGGGCACTAGGTTTTACTGGATGGAAGCAAGCTCACAAGTTTTACTTGAAAGTGTGATGGGAGTCATTATCGTTTTGAAACACATGTTGGAACACAGCGGACCTGGTGATTTGTGTGGGTGTAACGTGCTAATCACATAAATGCATTGTTTGCTCTGCTTTCTGTGGTCCTTTTCTTATTCTTTTGGCGGGCGATAGGCCGTAGTATCTTGAGTTGCTAGTAGTAAGAGGTAGCTACTAAGCTTAAGTAGCTAGCTACCAGTATGGTATGGACGCAGGACACCTCACGCTTCTATTCATTTGGCTCATAGACTTGGAGGGAAACTTAACCAAAAGAGCGACTTTGTATAGAGCAGGGGGCTGGAGTGTGCTTCAAAAGTCTGCGAACAACGAAAACGCAACGACGCCGGGACGCTGGCAGTTACGTACATGCATTTCTTTTGTTGAAAGGCACGCAGCAGAGAAACGCACCACGTCCACTTCTATGACTTTGTTGAGCAGTATATGCTGTTGGGTCACGTGAGTACGCTTGCAACTCCTTGGCATACACAAACAGAATGCAAACTACAGGACAATTGGTGCACTGAGATTTCACAATCGTGGCTTCCTTTCGCTGAGCGTTCATCTTCTTCAGAATCTCAACCTGAATATGCAAACTGTAATATTCGGTGTTCGGCACTGAGTGAATCTCCAAGTTCCGAAATCCTTTGCGGAAACACTTGTGATCCCTTCCATAAAGGCGCCTCTTCTTTGTGCTTCCTTTCTTCCTGCTCACGACGTTCTGCCTCATGCTTCTCGATCTGCGTAATCTTGTTCTCCAACTCCTGGCTTGAGCCACTCTGAATTGTGCCCTCTCTGTAGGCATCGATCAAACTATCCGTGTATCTCAGCTTGCCTGCACTCATTGTCATGAATCAATGTTTGACAAGGTTGTCATTGAGTGGACAGTAGCGAGGGCAAAAGTGCAAACTCAAATGCAAGGCAACAACTTTGGTGTCACATCATTTCATCTGTTTCAGTGCGTTTCAGCAAGTGCTGTCTCTGTGTACCTTGCTTTTCTGGCAAAATTGCTATTTTCTGTGATGGGTATCTCACTGGCTTCTTGGAAAGGTCACATGTCATAGCCATAGCTCAAAATGTTCTAAACATGTTGCATGCTGCATTGCTTCACTGGACTAAACATTCAAGCGAGCTAAATTAGCCGTCTATTCATGTTTTCCATGTTTGTCTAACTTTGGTAGCTCTTCCAAAATAGGGCGAACAACACAATCAAGTATCCATTGATTTCTTCCAAGGTGGTTCTGAATTGGAAGGCAGCTGGCCTCTACCTCATCTCGCAGCTTCTTGTTGGCAACTTGCAGGTCCTTCAGCTGGGCTTCATCAAAATGTTCAGGCTTTAAAAAGGTGAGCTTTGCTCATGCACGCGCCGCTTCATCAAAAATGTTGTCTATATTCTACTATGCTTCCTTCATCTTCTTGTTGTGTTGGTTGCGTCGCTGCTCCGCCTGCAGTGCCTGGACAAACTTGCGGAAACAACGCCTCCAACATGGACTTTCCTATGTACAGAACTTCCAAGTTCCTTGGTATCAGGTTGTACAATCAACAGAACGCCTTATCACATAAAACGGCTCAGTTGCGTGGAATCAACAATTCATTGTTCAATCCATCTACAGTATCGCTTCGCCTTGCGCATGCCAAAGGCAATCGAAGACTCGTAGAGGCTTTGGTAGGCGCAAATGGTCATCCTGGAGCATTGCACTTGGCGAAGGGCCTCTTCTTCAACTGCTAAAGAAATGCAGAGCGCAACTGCCTGATTTCGTCTCGGACACGAAGCAGCAACAATCCACGCTCAGCGCAAATTATGGTGACCTGCAGTGGACGACAAAAAAGGAGACAGTTCATCACTGCAAAGTACTAATCAGCTTGTCAGGATGCCTGTCGAATCAGCTCATCAAAGCATTGCGAATAGAGCTCCTTCAGACATCACATTCTCTGACTCTTAAGTGTGTGCGTTCCAAGCCAACAAGTCTCCTCACGGATGGGACATATGCCAGTCTCACGAGCCTCATCAAAAGTGCAAAGGTGAAAGAAACATGCAGTTATCTGTAAAGAGTCTAGTCTAGTCTAGTTATATATATCAAGCTACTTGGCCAGGACAGGCGAGTACTCATAATGTTCCTTTTTAGGAAATTGAAATCTGGTCAGCCTGTCTTTGCTGCAGCCACTTGTCTAGATCTTCTTGAAGATTGACTACATCCGCACCTGAAGTTGACGCCAGGGAACAGATTTTTGCCATTACATGATCTCGAAATGGCAAAGCATCTCAGCTGAGGGAACCAACGTGTGGCTGGCGTGCTGGACACGTACTGCACCTCAGCAGCAAGAAATAGGTGTTTCTTCCTTTGTGACTACAGCAATTCTGGAATCGGCACCCAGAGTTGATCCTCCTGCGTCCACTCTCTCGGTGGAAGGATGGAGTTGAGGATGTCCTGTCACAACCAGGTCCGTTCGATTCAAAGAGAGCAATGCAGTATGATTCAGTATCATTGTATATACAATTCTATAAAGAACATGGACTTACTTGCAGGCCACTTGAAAAACAGCCAAGCCTCAGTCTGAGACATCGCAGGTTGAGCATCTTTCTTTCTGTCCTTCCACTGCAGCAATGTAAACATTGTGTGTGTGCGTGTGTAATGGGAAAGCAAACTTGTGACCAGTTAGAAAGGTCAATTGTTCTAGGTCAATTCTGATGCACTACAGAACTTTCGGAAGAATGTCTATAATGACTTGGCTTGTGGAACTGAAAACAAAAGCCTGCCAGAAGGGTTGCTTCATCCAGCCCTCCTTCACCGCTTGAACACACACTTTTTCCAAATCTCCTTGTCCTTCTTGCTTTTGGCAGCACCTGTGGTGCTGATCAGGATGGGAGTATTGTACCTTGTGCAAAGCCGTTGCTGCAACTTCTGCAAGACACACAAGACACACGATATGCGCACTTCACCAATGATGCTTGCATCTTGGCCTCCGAAATGCAAACATTTTAGAAGTACTTTCAAATGCGGTACACATTTGCTTTACAAATGCAGCCAAGAAGCTGAGCCGGCTCTTAAAAAAGGCAGCTCTTGTTTGAACAAAACGCTGCCGCCAAAACGCCATCGGAGATATCAAAGGATCAAGTGTTTGTTTATTAATTTTTTATTCTTTTCTTCTTCTTGTTTTTTCTTCTTATTGTAATTACTGTTATTCTTCTTCTTCTTGCGTGCCATAGGTATGGGGGTGAGAAAAAAACGTGTAAATGCCGCACCGGTAGGCGCCCCACATGCCCATCAGCACAGCAAACCGGATAGGAAAAGCGCAAATTAGAGAATCGAGTTAGTTTCGAAGTCCAGGTTTCGACCTGGTAAAGGCAGCTTTCAACATTGTTCCCTGTTGGCTCGAGGATTTGATTCAGCTGCTCTGGAGAGCTATTAGTCAACTTCGCTATATGATGGATGGGTGTTGTGAGTCCACTGTTTGCGTGGTCTGCCAACACGTCTGAATAAAACTTAGATAGGAGAGGCCGAAACGTTTTTGAAACTCACCATTCTCATGGGTTCATTATCTTGGCGAAGAATTTTACCAGCTAATCCAGACCTTCGAGTCTTCAGGGTTTCTTGGATGGGTACGATTTTACTTCCACGGTCATTTCTGGAGATGTGGAGATTAGCTCTTCTGAAAACTTCTGCGTTGGTATTGGCATGATCTACATGCGTGGGAACCATGCCCAAAATCGGTCGTAAATTTCTTGATTGAAATGCTTCCAAGCGGGAAAGAAACCAGCTGGAATCTCCAGGGTCTCAAGAGCATAGAGGAGTAGCAACAATAAAAATAGAGTTTTGCAAAAGGCTGTCCGCGTGTGAAGTTTAAATGGCATCTCACGATTGTGACAAAGTGCGTGTTCCATGTTACATTCCAAATCCAGGATGTTTCATGTTTATGGAATCTTCACATGTCAAAACAATCCAAACACATTCGTGTTTGGTGCCTTCCTTCACCACTCGCCAAAATGGACGACAATGAAGTGTTCATGGTTCAACAACCATCCAAAATGATGATAGAACCCAAAAGGTTTTTGAGCAGTTCCCTGAATCATCTGCAAAGTACACAAAACATGTTCCACATGTTTTGTCGTTTCAACAAGAAAACATGCATCATGAGTGAAGAAATGTGCAGATGCAAGGTTGCGAAACACACATCATGGGCATTTGCTAGTTGCACGTTTAAAGCAGATCAAACGCACTGCTGAATATAGCAGCTAGCAATTTCCTCTGCACACATACAGTATTTATCAACACAATTGCAAAAACAAAACCAACGGTCAAGGGAGACATTGGAACCTGTGCAGTGAAAGTGAAATCGAAGAACCGTTCGATTGAAACATTGCAGTGGACCTCCAAAAGTATCATTGTGTCTTCAGGTATTTGCGCGTTTGTGTGTGTGCGTGTCTCATGATGTTAAATCATTACAAAAACAAGGGAAAACAAAAACAAGGACAACCAAGAACATGACGACAACAACCACCACAACAATGATAGTAACAACAACAGCTACAAACAAAAATCTAGGGATACACCCATCGGCCCGCCCAACCTTTCATATCCAGTCAAACAATGAAACGGTCATCCGTCCAATGGCAATGTTGTAACATTAGTCATCAGTGTCAATCATGTGAACAATCTTGCGACGTGGGTGACAACATTTTTGCATCTTTGCTATGAACCTATGAACCCCCCAAGACACAGAACAAACAGGAACATAACTTCTATTTTTGAAAAAACAACTGTGAAAGCCAAAGCCAATGACGGCAAATTGCCGTCCCACTTGAACGGTTCGCTCACCTTTTGAAAGCGACCCGACCGGAAAATGACTCAATCAACAGGACGACAGATGGCCCGGGAGTGTAGAAGGAAGGGTTCTGTGGAAAAGGGTGTGCGTAGTAAGAGATGTGTACAAACACAATAGAAAGTTGTTTAGCTGCGTTTGCATGTATGCTACAAGATGCTACAAGTACACACGCACCTCGCAGGCTTCTAGTGTTGTTCCTGCGGATGTAGTAAAATGAGACTCGTGGACAGTCAATGAGCAGAGTCAGAAGCTTTTGGCTCAAACAGTACATGAAAGTAGTCTGCCACACATGGAGCTCGACGACTCATCCAGGCTTAGCACTCCCCCTGAAATGGAGCCGGTCATGGACTACTCCTTGGTACTGACAACGCTCTCGGGGGTGACTATCAAGGTCTCTCTCAGTGTGGCAAAGTTTGATCGATTTGAGGATCTAGAGGACCAGGTTATGGACTATCTGGCCTCAGTTACTGACCTTAAAGTGTTTGGGTGCTCCATCGACTTTCTGCAAACAGCCACGCAGACATACGTAGAGGACCCAATCTGGGACAGGCTACAGCAAGGCACGGCATACAGCATTGTCTTCAGGGATAGCAGTGTAATCCTGCCATCGCAGGAACAGCTTGAAGGATGCCCTATCCATCATGTTCCGCTTGCTGTTCATGTCCCCATGAACCCAGAAGAAATCGTCCCGGAAGGGGCCTTTGCAGGGGTTCCGCGTCTGCGACATGTCAGTGTTGAATCAGGTATCAGGCTCATTGGAGCAGAGGCGTGGCAAAATTGTCGGCAGCTCCGCATAGTCAAATTGCCGGCCACTGTTGTAGGCATTTCCGATAACGCCTTTCGCGACTGCAAACTACTAAACAGTGTCTCGGCTCCTGGTTGCCGGGAATTTGGATACAAAGCCTTTCCGGAATGCTGCTCCTTACAATGGCTGTATGCATCGGAAGGGGTTGCAAATAGGTTCAGCAACGAAGCCAAGCTCGGGCATTATCTCTTTCAAGGGTGCATCAACCTTGCTGAGTTTACCTTGAGTGCGCTTCCATCCCCCCGAGGGTCAACACTGCAGGCCGGGACCAGTGAGCTGGCACCAGGCTGTTTTAGCTCTACGGGAATCACCACACTTGCTCTCACGAAGTATTTTACAGCTATCGGAGCGCATGCGTGTGACAGTTGCCGACTGCTTAAGAGTGTTGACCTCTGCAACTCCAACGTTGAAGAAATTCCGGAATTCACCTTTGTGCACTGCACTAGCCTCAGAGAAGTTCTCCTTCCGCCTACTCTCCATACAATTCGAGTTAAAGCCTTCATGAACTGTGCAGCCCTTGTTGAGCTTGCCATCCCGCCCTCACTAAAATACATTGGAAGTAGGGCTTTCTTGGATTGCACTGCCTTTAAGAGGCTCGCCAAGATGCCAGGAAGGCACAAATGGCGAGGAGTCTATGCAGAAGAGAATGCTTTTGCCATTTGTCCAGATATGAGGTGGCCACCCTGGCTGCATATGATCCCGGACATGGGATACACCCCTGGTCTTGGATGAAGACAAGCCTCTCTGACCACAGCTATCGCGGTATCACTGTCACTCATCAAGAGTCTGGGCGCGCGCCTTAGCTCGAGTCCAGAGAAGGCCAGAAGCCACAGTAGGCCAAATACCACGAGTAGAGTTAGCTTCTGTTGCAAGCATTTTGGCACTAAAGCATCCGAATAGCGTCGCTCCGTGACAAGGGAGGGCGCAGCTCAATGCCCTAGCAATCGGCTCGGCCAGAGCCGGACGCAGCGCGCCCAAACCGATGCTTGCCGGACTGCTGCTTTCTGAAGGCGGGCATTGTCGCACTTGCCTTGCCGACAGACTTCAACAGGATAGGCTCCACCGCCTGTGCGAGCCGCCAACAGCTCAAACAGTTGATCCGTCCCAAACTGAGGATCACGGAATAAGAAGCCTTCCACAAGCGTACCTCTCCACAGGAGGTTTCCGCTCCTGCTTTACGCGGCGCCATGCGCTTTTGCAGGTAGTACGCAATTTCGAGCGATACGCAAACAAAGACAAAGCAAAACATGGCGAAGGACATATGCCCTTGACAAAAGTGAGTAACTCGACTAGTCCGAATGGCACTGAGTTTTGCCGGCCGATGCCAGTGATCAATGGAGAGAAGACTTTCCAGAACCTGCACCAAAGACCAGCAATGCTTTCGCAGCGGGAATGGTGGATAAGCACACCGCCAGTACAAACACTAAGTGGATCGCCAACCTCTTTTCGCCATTCGCAATACAGTGAGCCAATAGGAATGAGAGCCTTAGCTCCTCGTTCCCAACAGGCGGGTGGTAGAGAGTGGCAATGGAGGATGCCCAGGGGGAACCTTAGTTCCCTCTGTTGATGTCCGACATTTCCAATTTTGTACAAAGAGGTACAGATACGCTAGGATAGGTCCAACGTCTCACCTGTTTCGCACGGGCCTTGCACGCAACAGAACAATTTTTGCAATGACGCAGCATTTCACGAAGTTAGGGGACACCCCGTTTTGGCACCTCTGTGTGCCGAAGGGTGCCGAGATGACCTCCCTTCGGGGGGGTGTGCCTTTCGCACCCTTACCTGCAGGCTTGCTATGGCCGCCACTGTCTGAACACTACCAACTACTACGCCTCTTGACTTGTAAGTGCAACCAGTTGAATGGGTTGTGCTACAGGAAAGGTATTTTCCACGGCATGATCTGCATAGCAACCACTGATCCACTTTGATGGGGAT